TCAAATACTCTAAAAAAAGCCTGTAAAAGCAGTCTTCTCTTAACATTTGGGTCGACAACAATCTGATTGTAACTCAAATACTTGTCAAGGAAACAGTAGTAGGCTTGCCCTGCCAACCTTTTTAATATCTGGTTCATGAATGGTAGAGGAAAGTGGTCTTTTCTAATCTTCTGATTCAACCTCCTGTAATCTACGCACACCCTTTAGCCATTAATTGTACGAGTCATTTTCAAATCGTTCTTCTCATTTTGGATGATTATCATTACTCCCTTCTTAGGGACCACATTTACCAGACTTACCTATGAACTATTATAAATGGGATAAATCATCTCAGCCTCAAGCAACTTAAGCACATCTTTATTCACTACCTCCTTCATTATATGATTAAGTCGTCGTCGTGATTCTTACAAATTTGGCCACATGTCTCTGGGCTTTGACTCACCAACAAAGTGATTGAGGTGAGTCACCCCTTAATTGTAGGAGACACGATTAACTTATATGACTATGAATACTTCAATCATTAACTAGGAGTGTGTGGATGAATTTACTTAAAATGTGGTATGGTATGTTCTCTTAAGAGAATACATAATATAAGGTGTGGGATGAGCTTGATCACATGTTGATCACATGATCTTACCTCTTTCTATTAAAAAAAATGTGTCATTTACTAATTGGAGAGTAGATGAGTCAAGTTCTTTAACTTTGAATGAGCTCGTTCTATTGTATTTTTGGACCTAACTCAAAATATTCTAATCGAGTCTCTTAAATTAGGATATTTTAGTCCACGATCTCTCAAACAAATATCTAAAAAGACAAAATGATCAAACAATGACATTTCATATATTTATCGTTATGTTTAATTTTATCAAATAAAAAGTAAATTAATAATAATATTTAAAAGATAATAAAACTGAAAAGCTATTATTTAGAATATATTTATATTAATGAATTAGTAGAACGGTTGATTATCAAACACATCCGATAATATAAGTCATCAAATATAAACTATACATGCTATTACTTTTTTTTTCTTCAAAGTTCTTTTTTTTCTTCAAAGTTTAATGAAAGTGTATGTCATTCAATAGGCCAATATATTATTCCACCATATCATATCAATATGATTTAGCAAAATATATGATCGTGATTGAGAGGACACTAACAATACATCACTCATTTTTCATTTTTTTAATAAAAAGTCCAAATATTAAGAAAAGAAAAAATATAAATATAACTCAAAAAAAAAACACATAGCAACAGGTGGTCCCACAAAAACGGCATGGTTTTTTTTTCTTTTTTTTTTCTAACTTTAAAAAAAAAGAAAAGTAAAACGGGTCGGTAGTTGAAGACTTGAAGTAGTGGACGCTCAACCCGGCAGTGACCGGCTACCGCCATCACCACCACCACCACAACCAGTAGCAGAAAGGAATACATCACAACGCAACAAATGCTTTATTCTCTCACCTTTCTGTTACAGATCTCCAACCACCACCTTCTCCTCCCTCATCAAATATAACACACATTCATTCATCTTCCATCCATTATAGCCTCACAGATAAATCGATCGATCTTCAATCTTCATCACCATACCCGTTTCTCACAAAACAAAAACCCTAATTCCAATCGAATTGGGAAAAAACAATATCTAAATTAGGGTTTTGACTCGGAGCTTCCGCTACTTAAAAATGGATCAATGGTTCTTAGTAATGCTCTCTAACCTCCTCCATCTCCACAACTCCCTCGACCCAACCACCGACACACTCTCCTCCACCGCCACTTCCTCCGCCTCCTCCACCACCTCCCTCCTCCATTCTTCCTCCATCGCGCCACTCCTCCTCTTCACCATGGCCTCCGTCCTCTCCCACGTCGCATCCACGCGTACCCCATCATCACCTTCCTCCTCCAACAACAACAACCGCCGTAACAAACGCCGCCGCAACAAAAACGCTTCCGACTACTCCGTCGCTGCTTTCCGTGCCCTCTCAACGGAACACATATGGTCCCTCGAACCTCCCCTCCGTGACGCTCAGTGGCGTTCTCTCTATGGTCTCTCTTACCCTGTCTTCACCACCGTCGTTGATAAACTCAAACCCCACATCGCCGTCTCTAACCTCTCTCTCCCTTCCGATTACGCCGTCGCTATGGTCCTCTCTCGTCTTGCTCATGGTCTCTCTGCTAAAACCCTCGCTTCTCGTTACTCCCTTGAACCTTACCTTGTTACAAAAATCACCAACATGGTCACGCGTCTTCTTGCAACTAAACTCTACCCGGAATTCATCAAAATCCCGGTCGGTCGACGCCGTCTCGTGGAAACAACGCAATCCTTCGAAGAACTCACCTCACTCCCCAACATGTGTGGAGCCATTGACTCTAGCCCTGTGAAGCTACGTTCTGGTCCTAGTTCTAACCCTGCTACGTATCTTTCGCGTTACGGGTATCCTTCCGTTCTTCTTCAGGTTGTTTCTGACCACAAGAAGATTTTCTGGGATGTTTGTGTGAAAGCTCCTGGTGGAACAGATGATGCTACCCATTTCAGGGATAGTCTTCTTTACCAGAGACTAACTTCTGGGGATGTTGTTTGGGACAAAGTTGTCAATGTTCGCGGCCACCATGTTCGTCCTTATGTCGTTGGGGATTGGTGTTATCCTCTGTTGCCGTATTTGCTTACCCCTTATTCTCCAAGTGGTATGGGTACTCCTGCTCAGAACTTGTTTGATGGAATGCTTATGAAGGGTAGGTCTGTGGTGGTGGAAGCTATTGCTTTGCTTAAGGGAAGGTGGAAAATTCTTCAGGAGTTGAATGTGGGTCTTCATCATGTGCCTCAAACCATTGTGGCTTGTTGTGTTTTGCATAATTTGTGCCAAATTGCTAGGGAACCGGAACCAGAGCTGTGGAAGGATCCTGATGAGAGTGGAGCTCAACCTAGGGTGCTTGATAGTGAGAAGTCTTTGTATTTCTTTGGGGAAAGCTTGAGGCAAGTTCTGACTGAGGATTTGCACCAAAAGCTCTCGTCGAGATAGTGACTTTTTAATTTGCTGCCTTGTTGATGATGATGGTAAGGGTAAACCACCTCATGTAGATTTTTTGTTTTGTTGAATAGAATATTTTTTTCCCTCTTCTAGGATGTGTTTCATGTATTTTATGTCAGAGTGATTTTAGTAACCAGATGTAGAACTAGATTACAGGATTTGTGGATGTGTTCAACTGTAATGGCTCCTTGTCTTCTGGATGAGGAGGACTACTGTACTAACATTAAATTTGAGTGAAATGTTTAAGACAACTTTAACTTAACTCTAATGGCGAGTTTTCATTATTCTGCAACGTGGATTCTTTTTTACATCCTTTTTCCCTGGTCAAGAGAAACCAGTTTACCAACTCAGTAAATTGATGTTTGAATGTCAAAACCATTCTGTTGTTTTGTTTTCATGGTTTTAGCATCTTTTTGCTGCACATTATCTTTGTGATGCGGCAAAGTTATAAAATTGTTTGTAATCAACTATAACTTGTAAAGTCTAAAAACATAGAAAATAGAAACTCATCTGATAGAGGTAACCAAGGAAAGGATTTTTGGAAGTCAATTCAGCCAATAGGAATGCAAGGTGTCGAAAATCGGAATGAGATATTCTCAGGGTTTAAAAGTTAGAGATACCGGATCACAAGTTTTTCACATGCAATTACTTCCTTTTTAAGTTGCACTTTCTGTGGTGTTAGAAATTTGGCTGCACATTTGGAAGATGAAAATACGTTAAAATCAAGATTTTTGTATGGAGGATAACAAATGCTATTCTTCCAACCTGTCAAAGGCTGTTAAGCAAAAGAAAAATAGTGAACTGTTTGTCATGTGGTTTTTTTTTCTATGCTCAACAATGTGGAGGTAGCAGGAGGATGTATAGAGTTAATTTTTCAGCTCCTTAACAAATTAAACATGCTGTAGAAAACACTTAACAAGTTAAACAATGATGTTGAAAACAGATTTTGTGATTTTACTTCGGTGTCTGGAAGAAAACCAATGAAAGGGTATGTGAAGACATTGAAAAGAAGCAGGCTGTTTACATATACTTAGCTTGTGACTTACTGCAGAACTCAGGTCCAGTACAGCGGAAACAATGCAGCAAGTTCAGATCAGGACAGCTGCCATGGCAGAAACCCTAAGTAGGTATGTTACAAGTTCGAATCAGGACAGCTGCTATGGCAGAAACCCTAAGTAGGTATGTTAAAGTTCAACATCGACATGGCAGTGCGGATCAAGGGTTGTTCAATGGGTAAAAATTGTGCTGTCAAGGGTTTCGTGACATCCACAATTAGCATGCAGACTATTAGAGGCTATCAAATGGTTAGGTGAATTGGACTGGGATAAATTGTAAATAGAGTTGGATTGTAAGTCAATTAGAAAGCATTCTAGTCTCAATTTGTCACAATGATTTATGAGCCAATTTAAAGTGCTATGAGGATCTTAGCTTTTTTATCCAATGACACAACACGTTAGTATACTAGATGGACCACAGAATGGTTCAACAATTTATATCTTTTTCCGCACAATTAAAGCCATTCGGCGGCTTTAACTAATTTTTTGTGATTCTTCCTTAACCAGCTAAAACTGCCATTAAACTGAGGTAATTTAGAAAATGTAATAGATCAAAGAATGTGAAATCAACACGTACAATAAAAACAAGATTAGAAATTATAAAACTTACAAATGCAAAATGTATACAAAAGCATTCATTAAGACAAGTGACACTAAATTATTACCGCCCAAAGCTAATTCTAAACCTACAATTCATATCTTAATTCTTAAGCCACGGTTCTGTAGACTATTTTACAATTTCATCACCTTCAAAAGAATCATTTTGCACGTCATTATGAAACTATACTATGCTTGCAATTAGCTTCAGATGCCAAGACAACAATCATCAGTTGCTCAACACATTAGACACAAATTCAAATATGATTGAACCACATAGCAGAGAAAATTCAGCATAACCACAAGCCTTTGCTATACATCATTACTGGACCTTTGCAATGTTTCGGCTAGATACACCATGCAATAATTTGACAAACCCGAGAAAGCTTAACTTCCCATCGGTATGGCGTATCCAGTCATGAAGAACAACATGAACAGGGATAGATGGACCAAGTCCAAGTTCCTAAAAAATAATCAAATAAATATTATGATGATTAGCCATGTATATAGGTGATCTAATATTTACCTAAGTTATAAAGAGATAATTGTAAATGTGGCATTATGTCATATATCGATAACTATGGGTGAAGTGATTTTAACTTACTGAAGCAAGTTCTTCAATGACAATAGCTCTGTTTCCATCTTTCTCAAAAAGTTCATATGCACAACGGGCATGTTGTTCCCAACGATCAAGAGCTTCGAGTTGATGCACACTTAATGTAGCGGCACAAAATTCTTCAAAATCCATCCTTCTATATTGTAATGAAGTCAGCTGTAATAAAACATATAACAAGAACACGTGAGAAAGAAAATAGTCAAACTAAAAGAATCTACAATAACAGAACAAGGTATTATTACCAAGGAAAGAAAATCAGTGATACGAGACTCTTTCATGGCATCAGTTGCATATTTCTTCAAGGCCTGCTCAGAAAATTTGAATGAGAAAAACTTATTCTATCTTACAAAACAATAAACTTCTTACAAGTTGATATGATGACATAACAATAAACCTTGTTAATGTTCTCCAAGGATATGCTTCCATTTTTGCTCGGTTCCAACAGTGCAAACTGTTCCCTCAGATAATAGAGTTCATCCGCAGTTAATGTCTTTGACAAGGCCTGCCAAAGAGAGTCGAGCATAAATAAATTAACTAATACAATTAAAACCAAAATAACATGATTTTAATCGCAAATTCGCATTGCATTATTTAGAAGGTATTAAGAAACCAAAATACACACCCTTAAGGCAGCTTTGCGCAAAGATGATGATCTCATATAAGTCTTCATGAGCTTGAATATTAAAATATCAAGTGGAACTTTTACATCATTGTAATTACGTATCCAAGGATGACCTGCAAAGCACAAGATTATTTGCCCGAATCTCAAGAAATGCCCAATTAGAACCTCATTGATATTAGAGGTCACAAGAAAACTCACTCAGTGCCTGAGCAGCAGATATTCGTTTCCGTGGGTCCTTATTCAGTAGGCGTTTGACAAAATCTATTGCTTCTGAAGATAAGGTTGGCCAAGGAGCTTCTTCAAAGCCTGGATCAGCTTTCAAAACTGCCCTAAAGATACCCGACTCTGTTCTAGCCCAAAATGGACGACTACCACATAATAGAATATATGCTATCACACCTATACTCCACACGTCAGCTTCTGTGCTGTAAGATCTGTGAAGAACTTCAGGAGCCACATAATAAGCACTTCCAACAATGTCATTAAGCCTCTCATCTGAAGGACATGATATAAAAAGTTAAGAAAATTGCTCAATACCCGTGAGGAAAAAGATATACTAATAGTAATACCAAAACCAAGGATTTGTGAAGAAAAACCTGGTCTAACAAAATCTGATAATCCAAAGTCTATAGCTTTTAACTCAGAACTTTCATCTTTTGAAGTGTATAAGAAATTCTGAGTGAGAAAATGCAAGGTTGTTGATTGGTCAGACAATAAGTAATCGTTTCCGAATTGAAATACTAAATCAATTTAGATGATTGGGTGAATATTATAGCAGACTCCGATGTAATAACTTTCTGAAAGACAAATGAAGGAAAATGCTCACCTCAGGCTTAAGATCTCGATGCACCACACCCTGAAGATGACAAAATGCAACAACATTTAGTATTTGTACCATGACAGCCTTTGCATCATCTTCTGAGTATTTCCCTCCTCTGAAGAAACAAGAGAACATGTAGCTAGTAAGTGAGAAGGTGCAATTATAAAATTAAATTTCATTATTGAAATCACGCCGCAATCGCACAGCCGTGACAGCTGTTTCTCACTTATAGGACGTGACGCTGTGTTTGGGTGTGGTTATCCACCCCGACGCCGATAACAACACTATTTTCCACTATTAACAATATGAATTACCTTGATAGTATCATATCTAATAGCTCTCCCCCTTCACATAACCTGAAACGTAAACAGTAAACAGTATCCAGTTACTTATGAAAATGCTACATAAACAAAAAATATTAATTACTTATTTGTTTCTTAAATTGCACGAACGTTTGTAGATTTGATCTACTAGTTGAATTGAATTAATGAAATAAAATGTTCATGTAAGTCATTTAACAAAGAAAGAGACATGTTAGAAGAAGTTGATATAATGTATGTATGTATAGATAAATACATTTTTTAACTAGGAAACAAAACTTAAGAATTGAAAAAGGAAACCAATGCCACCAAACTTACTCCATGACAATGTAGACATTTTCTTGGTCTTCAAATGAATCATAGAATTGTACCAAATTGCTGTGCCCGTTCAAAGCTCGCAATATTTTCACCTCCCTTCTTACATCTTCAATTGCAATTGCTGTTGTCATCTGGCATCAAAACATATAAAGATGAGTATGTAATCATCATACATACTTGATTCGCTTCACAAAACTTAAATCCGGATCAGGGAAACAAACGTAAAAGACACCACGGGCGACAAATGTAAAATGAAGTATAGAAAGAAAGAAAAATGTACATAGTATAGAACAATATCATCCAAACTCCAAGGCCAATTCAATTGCTATAGTCTTAATTTCTCAAGTTTAACTCCAATAAGTTTTATCAATATTAAGTTAACAATTAGATCAAGCTCAAAATAAGAGTACTACACTATGAAACATGGACACTAACGGGACACCGGACACGACACCTACACTGACACGTCAACATCGGTAATAATTTGAAAAAATGAATTAACTGAATGTAATCACATGTGCCGGAGACACGCATTTTTCCAGAGGTGTTGGTACTGAAGAGGTAGCAAAAGAGGCTGATCTACCCAATTTTCACCAAAAACCATAAACCAACACCCCATTGCAAGTCCTAGAAAAACATTTCCAAACCATTCTAGACAAATAATCCTCAACATCAAATCCTTAATATCAAGTGAGCAAAACAACCTAAAACATCAAGGTTTGTCAAGCAAATAGGTGAATAAATCTCCCAAATCAGAAAGAACTCCAAGCATATATCAATGTTCCTTAATATACCAACTGATTCATCCAAGTATCATCACTTAACAAATACAATTTCAACTTTAAGATTAGCTAGCAATTAGTATATCATAGATGGTAAAAGAACAGGATTAACCTTTGCTTTAGGAATGACTTTCACAGCTACTTGTTGACCCTTATGCTCACCCTTCTTAAACTTAGCAGAACAAGTATACCCAAAATGCCCTCTACCCACTTCTTCTCCAACCTCCAACTTACTAGTAAAATCCTTTGAAAATCCAAATCTCTTGTCCAAATCCCCTGCACCCTCCTCCGAATCTTCCGGTATCGCCGTAGTTTCCTTCTTCCCTTGTCTCCGAGCCAGCGCAGCCCTTATATGCTTCGCCGGCGAAGGCGGAGGAAAAGCTCGCCGGAAAAACCTCCTCGGCGTCGAGCTCGTACTCCGGCTCGGAGTCGAAGGAGACTTCTTCAGGAAACGAGCCGGGCTCGGACTGTAAAACGGAAAAAACGGCGACTTTTTCCCGGCGATGACGTCATCTTTATCTTTCCGGCCATGACCATCGGCGACGGGGCTTAACGGGGTCTTCGGGATTTGCGTTGGGTCACCTTCCGTTTCTCTAACGGCATATGGGTTGTGTTTCTGCGGCTTCGAAGTGCAACCCCCCATTGAAGAACGATCACAGAAGCTGAAGGTGAAATTGAAACTGAAACTACTGAATCATTTTCCGTCGCATTGGAGAAACGATTTTCATGGGTCTTGCTATTTTCAGCTAAAGATTCGAACTTTACAGAGATTTTGAAGTGGGTGAGAAATTTTTTTTTGAGATAGGTAGAAAAGTGGATTTGTTTAGGTGAAGTATACTAGAAGAAGATGAAGATGAAAAAGATTGAAAATCTCACACACGTGACATGCACGTGAGTATTGATTTTTAGGTGTTCATTGAATTTGTAGAGTGGAGAGAAAAGGGTTATGATGATATGATTAAGATGATGATGAAGATGGTGAAGAGAATAGTGAAGATTTGGTGTGAAAATGAAAAAGGGGGGACTATTGTAATTGTATTGTTGCCACAAATTTGGCTACACATTGTTCCCCTTTTTGACTAGAATGCCGTACAAAGAGAAATACCACTATATAATGGAACTCAAAATTATGACACCATAAATAAAAAAGGAGTAAAGGCTAATGAGATAAACAATGAAGAGTGTGTTTGTTTTCAAGGTGGAAACATTGAAAAAACATGCTTATAAGTGTATTTTTGGATTACCTTCTACAATTGCAAAATCAATTTTAGATATATAGAATTGATTCCGAGAGTAATTTTGAGGTGTTTGATTATAAAAATAAAATTGATTATGTTATTAGAATTGATAATACTTAGAAGTTAGAATTTGTAATTCTAAATAATATTTATAATTTATTGTTCAAATAACTTTTACATAAATATATCTAAATATAAATTAATTCTAATAAATTCAATTATATTAAAATCAATTCTAACAAACTCAATTCTACAAAAATCAATTATATTCACTATTAATCTAAATATATTTTAAATATATGTTTAGAATCACGGTAGGAGATAAAAAAAACACACACGTTTAATTGTAGGTATAACCATAGGCAGTTTTAGCATACGGCTATCCTGGGCAACTGCCCAGGCTCTTTAGTCTGGCCCAAATTTATTTTAGTTAAAAAAAAAAGGCAAAAATTTGAAAGAGAAAAAAAGGGCAAAAACAAAAGTAAACCTAACTGCAGCACCACCAATCTCTTCTCCGCGATGGCGACGGACTCCTTCCTCCTCTCTTTCTCAATTAGTTTTAATTTATTATATTCAAGCACTAATCGGTTCGGCATACTATTTTTCCTCTTCTTTTTTTCTACTTCTTGTTCTTTCTATTCATTCATATGCTTTTTAATTTTATTTTATTTAGATTGAAGAGGTAATTGCAATTCAAGGAAATAATTCTTTTGGGATTAGCATTGTACTGTTTTGGTAGAAAATTATGAAGTCAATGAAAACTTGTCCAGACTTCATAATTTTTCTGGCTCCGCCACTGGATATAACTAATAGCTTTTCATTTTCACAGTTAAAAAGACTTATCATCATAATTTTATAAATTCAAACGTATAATCAAACACATGTTAAAATTTAGAGTGTTAAAAAACCACGACAAATTTGCATTGAAACGCAAAAATGAAAGGAAAAAATGGACTCAAACACATGCTAACGAAATAATATAGATTTCATTTAATTTATCATTTATTATCATAGTATTTTTTTTTCTTCGTTTTAGACTGAATGAAGAATGTATCTTTATTCTTAAATTTTCATAAAATTTTCATTCTATTTACTTTATTTTATTTCACTTAATTTATTTTATGATATCTAAATATAAATTTAAAATATTTTTTAATCTATCCTAAAATTTTGTTTTAAAATTAATATTAAAGATATCACACTGTTAACTTTTTCTAAAAGAGAATTTTATCATTTATTATAATTTTCTTATCGTAAAAAAGATTAATATTTATAGTTTCACACATAGGTATATCCTATTTATAAAAAGTAATAAAGAAAAAAAAGGGGGATTGTAATAGTTGTAATATGAAGGAAAGATAAAAGCTAAAAAACAAAACAATGAAAAGTTTAGTGTAGTTATCGTTGAATAAAAATAAGTGTGTGTAGTTTATTTATTGAGTGGTTAAGAAATAGTAGGATAGTGATGTATAAACTATTGAATAAAGATGGATAGCAATATGACTTTCAATTATTTATTGTTTTGTTTTCACTCAACTATTCATATTGGCTTGAAGTGAGGAAACTCCAATTTTAGAGTATAGCATATTCTTGACTTCATTAACCACTTAGTTATTATAAATGGTTTGGGCTATGCATGCATCATCACTTTTTTTGGCTTTAATAAGATATCATGCCAAAGTTGTTAATTAGTTACATGTGTCACTATCTTATAAGTGGTTTTATATGATGATTTTGTATATGTAATTCGTATAAAATATGAATTAGGATCGGTCCAATGTATATATTTGGAACCTTAAATCAAAGTTGTGTTACAATTTAAGTGTAAATGATTGGCTCAAATTTTTAATATGAGTGGTGACTAATATATATTCAATTTTTTAATGTTAGATGGAGATGTGGTGTTCTTTTTTTTGTGGTTATAATCATAAATAGTCTGTTATAGCTATGACACTCTTTATGACTTTCAACAAAATGATACGAGTGTTATTAGAGTGATTCCGTTTGGTGGGAGAATGAAAGTAAATCTTGATGTACTTGATCATAGTCTTACAAGTATTTTTTGCGGGGTAGTAAGGAGACAAGTTCTAATAGTTGATAACAATGATAAAAAATTTATGAAGTTCAAATTCAAAAAATAAATTATCTACATAGACAGATCATATATTTAAGGGTGGCAAAATAGGTCGGGTCCACCGGGCCAGTACGTATGATTCACTATTTTGACGGGTTGGATTGAGGTTTTTGACTTTGTATCTTAAGTTGGTCTGTCCTGTCTAATCCACTTTAAAATGCAGGTTTAGGTGGGATGGAACAGATTTTGTCCGAGGGCTTTTGTTATAACTTTTCACTTTTTACTTAGAATTAAAACAACTTTAACTATAAGAATAATAATATTTTTTTTGTGTTATGGTAATTGAACTACATTCTAAATTATTATATAGATAAAATAAATTATAATTGTAAGGTTTTTTACATAACTTTCTAATACAGGTATTAATTGGAAAAACTTGAAATACAATAACAATTGTATGGCACGGAGAATTATTAAGTTGTCAATACATTAACTCACATGTTTTCTTTAGAAATAAATGTTAATTTTAAGAAAATGAAAAATTCGATTAGAGTATATGTGTCACAAATTTAAGATATAACTATTAAGGAATCAGTCAATATATGACGTAAACAATGAGAAAGACAGGTCTTAATATTTTATATATTACTATTTTATGTAATGTGATATTTTATGCAATGTACTGTTATCATTGTTTGTCTTGTACAAATTACTAATTGGGTTCTTTTAGTAATTAGTTTTTAAATAGGATTATGATAATATGTGTTATTTATTTATTTATTTTGATATATTTTTTATCGTGTTAAAGTCTATTTCGGTATGTATTTCTTGAAATTGGTCTTTATCTATTTTATTTTTTAAAATGTTTGAACTTAAGACAAGTTGAAGTTATATTATGCGTTGTTAAAAAAAAATCTTTGTCAGCTTCTTTAGTAATGATTAAATTTTTTGTAAATTATATAATAAATTAAATTGTAAAATTAAAAAATTAAAAAAATTGGCTGACAGGCCCGCCAACTCGTTAATAAATGAGATGGACTTGACTTTTAAGCCCGAATGTCTAAGTTTGTCCGTCCTGTCCTACTTCACTTTTGTACAAGCTTAAATGTGACGAATCTAAACGGAACGGACCGTCCACTTTGTCACCTCTAATCATATAATATATTGACACTATCAAGATATTTTCATATCAGTTTTTTTAAAATATATAAAGCTAAATTAATTGTTCATTTTTTGCACAATGACACAATTATAGTGTGAGAGGCTCATATTTAAGAGAGTATATAGTAAATATAATTGTGAATAATAAGGATGGATAAGAAAAAAATATAGGTGATGTGATATATGTTCTTTGAAGATATGTTTGGTTTAAGAGAAGTGGTAAGGAGAGAGTTAGTAAGAGAGAAGTTGATGAGAAATGTTATATTTCTTTTATTTAGTGGGCAAAGAAATAGGTGAGAGAGATCTTTAAAATGTGGGTCTCACAGCTTTTTGCAATCTTCTTAGAGAAGAAATGGAATGAATGTGCATTATCTTTTCACGCTTCCATTTATGCCCTCCTTTTATTTTCAAATAAATCAACTATATTAAATATCATATTTGTTCAAGTAGAAGGAAATTTAATACAATAATATTAAAATATAATTATATAGAAATAGTATAATAAGACTATAATAATGAACTGACAAACTAAATATGACAAAAAAATTATTTTCAAAAGAGATATGATTAATTAATTTATTAAACTTAAATTAAAAGAATTAAATTAATTTGTTTAAAAATATTATTTATTATAAGAATATTATAGTACTTTAAAAATATAAAACATTTATATCTTCTCTATTTCTACTCTCTTTCTCTTAAACCAAACAATATCTCAAATCTATTTTATTTCTCATCTTTTTCTCTCTTTTTACCCTCTCTCTTTTCTTTTTCTCTCTTCACAACTTTTCTTCTATACCAAACACACCCTCAATGACAAATAATTTGCTAATAAATTTGGGTTAATTGTTCGATAATAACTATATTTTATGAAAATAAAGAGTTGAAGTGTTTGATGTAAATTTCAAACAAATCTTGGAGGCACCTATGTCAAACAACAGAACATTTAAAATCATGATCAACATATTTGACCACTTATTCCTTATATCAACCACAATGGAAGATCAAATCTTGAAGGCACATGAAGAAAATGATGTATGGACGGTCTTGAATCAAAATGTCAAAGCATTTATGTGAAGAATGCTCTACATGTGAAGAGTGCTCTACAGTTAAGCAGACAAGAAAGTTGTAACATCCTACAAATCCTACGACTCTTATTTACTTAAAACC